AAAATTCAGGCGCTTGGCAAAAAATTCAGATGCTTGACATATTTATGACGGTTGCAGTGTCTCAGGGTCACATGCAAAGTGAATGGGGAAGCCAGATTCACTTAACGACCAGATTACTAACTTATGACCTGTGGGGATTCACTTCACCACGGCGGCAAGAAAAGTAATAAAATGGGGCAGAATTCACTTAACGAGCGTCTCTCTTAGCAACAGAAATTTTGATCTCTATTGTGGTTGCAAGTCAAGAACTGCCTGTATTACAAATTTTTGAGCTAGATATGCCAGGGTTTTTTTTTGTTAAAAACCCACTGTTGATTATTTAAAATTAAAAATCAATTAAGAGATTTCTCCAGCACAAGTCCATAATGTGAATCAATGTAATTTCTCCAGAACAAAATATTTTCCAATAGGTTTCCTTATATTTCCGGCCACAGAACCTGTTCCAACTGGTCTACACCAGGAGTCGCCAACCGTTTGGACCTCAGGGACCCCCAAACTCATCATTTTAAATCCCGCAGACCAAACACCCTGGGAAAATCCCCCCCAAAAAATTCTGCAGGAAAATTCCCCACCCCGTTTTCCTACCTATCGATGGGATCGCAGGAGACCGTCTCCAGGTCCGTTCTCAGAGGGAAAGAGAGAGAGAGAGAAAGGGAGAGACTTTTGGCTTCATGCAAGGAAAACAGCAGAAGCCGCAGAAGTCTTTCTTTCTCTCCCCCAAACTCCACCAGAAAGGAGTCTTTTTGAGCCTTTTGGAGCAGGAGGCCTTGCAGGGTCCCAAAGACTCATTTCTGGCGGAGTTTGGGGGAGAGAAAGAGAGACTTTGGCTGCTTTCCTTGCGTGAAGCCAAAAGCAGAAGAAGAAAGAAGCGGAAAGAAGCAGGCGGGTGGCCAGGCCAGGCATGTGGGGCGAGTTCCCCCCCTCCCCCTTTTCCTCCCTCCGCTCCCTACCTCATGTTGTTCACAATGCAAGCGACGCAAGCCTTGTGTTCCCGCGGGCCATGTGGGCGGCGCAGCCTTGTGTTCCTTCGCAGCCTGGATTAATTGCTTTGGGGGGGGTGGACATTTCTCTGCGGACCACCAACATTTTCTCGCAGACCACCAGTGGTCCCCGGCCCACTGGTTGACAACCACTGGTCTACACGATGTAAATACCACATCTGAGTGACATAGTGGTGCCTAAAGGTGGAGTTCTCGCCTCACAATCCTATCTGCTGAACAAAACTCCACACTGGCAACGGAAAGGGCATCCAGCCCGTAAACCCTGTGCTAGCTCCATTCAGTTGCCCAAACTCCACCCCAATGCAAGGGAGGATGGGGGTCATTAAAAGGAGAAGATGATCTCAGTGACGTAGACAAGTCGCCTTTCTACCCTATCCTGCATCGGTTGGATCCGCAAGGTGGATAAAATACCGGGTCAGCTTCGACGTCCAACCACAACGGAGCTCCAAATTTCCACTGCTAAGAGAGATGGTTCTTCAAGTGAGTTTTGTCCCATTTCACGGCCTTGCTTCTCGCAGTCGTTAAGTGAACTGCTTAGCAACCCAGTTGTTAAGTGAACCTGGCTTCCCTGTTGACTTTGATCAATGGTCGTTAATGTGAAAACATAAGTCAGGTTTTATTTTCCTGCGCCGTTGTAAACTTTGTTCATTAAACAAACGGTAGTAAGTCGAGGATACCTGTACAGGTACTCTTCGATTTACAGCGGTTCTCTTAATGACCGTTCCAAGTTACAACAGCACTTTTTTTCAGACCATTTATTCACACAGACCTATATTCGGATGCCTCATACCTGACTCACATTTATGACGGTTGCAAAGTCCCAGGAGTCACACGATCCTTTTAGCGGTGTTGACGAGCAAAGCCAATCGGGATTCCAGATTCACTTAATGACCTTGTTACTCACTTAACACCCGCAGCGATTCACTTAACGAACGGGGCAAGAGAAGTCATAAAACGGAGCCAAACACTTAACACATTTCTCATGTAGCAGTGTAAAAGTTGTGCTCCATCATGGCGGTAAACTGAGGACTTCCCGAAGGGGCACTAGTTTTATTTTCTTTCGTAAAGTCTTTCTTGCTTCTGTTTGAGAGCCTTTGTATTTTGGGATTTTTTCCCCCCCAGTTCTTTCTCTTTTTGTGAGGACCCAGAGCGTAACACAAACGTAACAAAATCCAAAGCATAAATAAATGTCCTTTAATGCCTCCAACTTGGTCCCACTGTTCAATAATTCCCAGTTGGAGATAAAACGTACTCAAAAATAATCTTCAAAAGGAAGCAATACAGTCCGAACTCAATGAGCAGATAGAGGTGAAATAAAAAGCCAAAACAAACTACAATGAAAGAATTTCCACAACAAACCAGGATAAGTAACTACCAACTTCAAGGAGATAACAAGGCATAGTCTGTTGGAAGGATGCCAACCAAGATAACTTCAGCCCAAAATAAAACATCCTTCTGGCAACACTGTGTTGTAATCGTCTCTTTTATATACTATTCTCCCCAGCTGCAACCAATGAGGGGATCATGGCCGCTTCCTCTCTCGTAAGCCAAGTTGCTCCCTTCTCTGTTCCTCCCTGCATGCCCTAGGATGGAGAGGGGATGGGCCTGGTTCTTCCTCTGACTGCCCAGCTGGCCTCTGCCCTTCCCCAGCCCTTCCTCTGCCCTTCCCCCTGTTCCTCCTCTCCCTCAGTGTTCGACTCTAACAAGGGCATGACCCACTTCGCTTCTGCTATCTCCAAGTACCAAAATATCCACGATCCAATATCCATTTATTTTGTATTCCTTATCAAAAAAAGGGGTTCATTCTTCCTGTCTCCTAGCAGAATCACCTGCTAGGTTTGCCAGCGTTTAGGATTCTCTTCCTCTTTTGCACGCGTATTTCGCAATGCAGTCTTTCCTAATTTCGGGGAAAGGTCACGTTAATTAAATAAATGGCCCCCGAGGAATGGAAAGAGCGAGGTCTGCGCTCCGACAAGGAGAACCATCCAGCTGAGATAATTATTATGGGTAAGAAGTGTGAAATTAGATCATTACATTCAGACTCAAAATGGGGTGTTTTCGTTGGCGAGAAGGGGGGAGAGAGAGAGAGAGGGAGAAGGACTAAAGAAAGAAAGGCAACATTCATTCAATAATGTAGAATATGGAGTTGGAAGGGACCTTGGAGGTCATCTAGCCCAACCCCCCCTGCCCCCATTCAAGCAGGGAACAAGAAAAACCAAGTTTTTTTTTGAGACCCCTGCAAATTTCTACCATCTTCTCTGGAGTTTGCAATACAGGCAGTTCTTGACTGAACAGCAGTTCGTTTAGTGGCCGCTCAAAGTCACAACAAGCCCAGAAAAAAAGTGACTTATAAGCAGTGAGGTGATTCAACCGGTGTAACAAGCGGTTCGGTGAGCGCATGCTTTGCGCCCTTTCACAGTTATGACCTTTCCAGTATCCCTATGATCGCACGATCAAAATTCATGCCTGACTCAGAGTTATGACGATCGCCATGTCCTGGGGTCATGTGATCCACCTTTGCGACCATCTGACAAGCAAAGTCAATGGGGAAGCCAGGTTCACTTAGGGACCAGGTTACTAACTTATCTACAGTGCGGGATTCCCTTAACAACTAAGGGAAGAAAGGTTGTAAAATGAGGCAAAATTCATTGAATAAATACTTCCCTTCACAACAGAAAGGTTGGGCTCACTTGTGCCTGTAAGTCGAGGAATACCTGTATCCTGTCTTGAATGGGCTTCTGCTGGTGGAATTTGCTTTGCTTATGAATGGGGCCATCTAGATAGTTGGCTTCCTCTTTCAATAAGCTTTTTATCTCCTTAAGTGCTGGCATCTGCTGTGGGTTATGAAGAAAGACTGGAGGCTGCTTCCTGCCTTTAAGAGCCCGTTTCTCCATTTCTCCTTTGAGGGAAATCTAATATTCTGCCTTTTTAAAATATTTCCCAAAATATTTCATTCTTCGGGAAGGGAAGGCTTCCCGTTACCATCAACATTCACCTTAGATTTTGACATCTTGATCCTTTTCTCGTCTTCTCCAAACCTTTCCCTTTTATTCTACTCCGTCTCCCGGGATTCTGTCTCTGGCCCTGAAGGTCCTTTGCTCAGATTGGCAGTTGCACCATCCAGACACAGATTAACAGAGTTGGAAGGGACCTTGCAGGTCATCTAGTCCAACCCCCCACCATCCAAGCACAGACCCTACTACAGCATTTCTGACAAATGGCAGCGCAATCTCTTCTTGAAAGCCTCCAAATGTTTCTTCATTTGAGGTCGCTTCATTCCCGCCTGACACGCAGCTCCAGGGAGGCAGAAAGACAAACGTTGTTCACCTGGAAATTGAGGTCCCGTGGGGAAAAGGTGATACTTTATTTAACTCAACAAACAAATTTAGGCAATTGTTTTTAAGTGACTGACTGTGTGTGTGTGTGTGTGTGTGTGTGTGTGTGTCAGGCATAAAGGAACGTGCCTTCCCTGAATTACCTTTGAGTACCTTTGCAACCATTCCACCTCCTCCTCCTCCTCCTCCTCCTCCTCCTCCTCCTCCTCCTCCTCCTTTCCATGTATTTCCCTCTCTTCTAGAACTGATGATGTTCCCTAGTTGGGTAATGAAACATCTACAAAGAAAACAACCAAGCTCAGAGAACACTAAGGACCTCTTAGTCTTCTTCTTCCTCCTCCTCCTTCTCTCCCCCCTCCTCCTTTCCATGTATTTCCCTCTCTTCTAGAACTGATGATGTTCCCTAGTTGGGTCATGAAACGTCTGCCATAAAACCACCATGCTCAGAGAGCACCAAGGACCCCACTGGTTCAACCCTGAGCTACAAATAATTTCTCCCTTATTGAGATCTAATTGTGGATTCCCTACAAGACCAGGAATGCCCTACCTACCTCAATGAGATTTTATGAGCTTTTGCTGTCCTGGGCTACTTGTAGGTGGGTAGGAGTTCTTGAGAATGGGTGCAGGGGGCAACATTTCTAACATTGCCAAGGGTTTCCGTGTTTTAAAATACACCCTCGTGCTTTTCGGTGGCTTTTAAGGCCTCGTGCATGCTTGCCGCCGAAAGTCTCCGGTTAATGTTCCGATAATTACAGCGCAGAAGGTTCCAGAAAGTAGTCCTCAGGTCGCGGTTGAAGAAGGCGTAAATCAAGGGGTTGATGAGGGAGTTGGTGTAGCCCAACCACAACAAAGTCCGCTCCAACCACAGCGGGATGCAACTGCACCAGCTCCCGCAGAGGAAAGGCCGGGCGGTGGACATCAAGAAGAACGGCAGCCAGCAAACGGTGAAGGTGCCCACGATGATGCCGAGAGTCCGGGCAGCCTTCTGCTCCTTCTTGAAGATGGAGATGTTCTTGTGGTCCTCCTGAAGGAACTTGGACAACGTGGCACACTCCTTGGCGGCCTGGCTGCGTTTGACGCTCCGTGACGGCCGTACGCCGGAGTCTACGCAGGAGATACGGTCCCGGGGGTGAGGCCTCGGGAAGTCCACGAACCGGTGTTTCCGAGCGCTGGCTTTGGCCGCTTGGTAGATCCTGTGGTACATGACCAGCATAACAGTCGTGGGGATGTAGAAGGCCACGCCGGTGGAGTAGATGGTGTAGCCAACATCCTGGCTGATGAGACACACACAGTCCACCGTGACGTTCTTGGCCCAGCCGAACAAGGGAGGGAGAGTGATGGAAGCAGAAAGGAGCCAAACCACGAAGACCATCTTAGCCATCAGTTTCCCGTCTTGTCTCACCGGGTAGGTCAACGGTCGAGTGATTCCCAGGTACCTGGAAAACATCGGTTCAGATTGAAGGTACGGAGAGGCCTCAACTTACGGTTGGTCACTTAGCAAACATGCAAAGTTATGACAGACCTCCCCAAGGGCCTGTACTTGTTATCTAACTTTCTTTTATTGCTTGCCTGTTTTATTCTGTTATTTAATTTAATCCCATTTAATCATCCGTCTGAGGATAATTCAGCTAAGGCTGTTTCCAGTAACTTTTATTTTATTGCAGTGTATTGTACTGTTTTACTATTATTATTTTATTTTACTGTTTCATTTTGTCTGTACTTTTTAATCTAACTTTTATCGTTTGCCTGTTTTATTCAATTATTTAATTTACTCCGTTCTGTTATTTTATTATTCGTTAAGATTCGGCG